CCTTGGATTATAACTGAAGATCAAAGTAACTATGTTATAATGAAAAAAATGAACAGAGTTTTGTTTAGATTAATAAATGGGATTAAGAGACAGGTGATTGCTATTAAAGGGGAGAGTGTCATTTTTACAAGAATAGCAATACTGTATCGTAAAAGATAGGCAATAAACCATTGTTTAATATCCAGATGCAAGCTACAAGGCCTAATGTATTAATATATAAATTAAAAACAATTTTTAGTAGCTAAAATATATGTTTTTGTGAGTAATCTTCCCTCTTTTGCTTTTTTCTATCCTTTGTGCAAATATATCAAAGAAAGAAAAAAGTGAAATATTTTAGGGAAGTGTAATCTGAAGAATGATATTCTACATAGGTGAGAACATACAAATGTCTGTTCCTTTTGGTGAAATGCATCTACAAGTCACAAGGTGCATTTGGCTTCAACAAAGGAAGCATGTGATGCAGATTGCATTCATTTTTCTATATATTCTTTAGTTAGCTGGAGGGAGAAAAGGTTCACATTGCTGTTTAAAAACTTGGCAGCAGATTTGGAAAATATTTGTTTAGAAATATGCTACTTCTCAAGCCAGATAGTACTGGGCTCTGATCATAGCAAGCTCTATATGTCACATTTTTCTCTCTTAAGTTAACCTGGAGATATTGCCTGATATATCAATGATTTGAAAGGATTGAGTAAAGAGCATAGCACAGAGAGGATTTATTTTTGTCTTCTGTAGGAAAAGGCAAGAATCTGGAGAAGCAGTGGTTTCTGGGATTGTTTTCCTTTCAAGAAGCCCCTGTGGCTATGTAATTGCTAAGTAGAATTACATAATGTTTGCTTGTCTGCTGCTTTGCTTCTTGGCAGCTCTCTGAAACATTCCATTAACACAGAGAGGATCTTCTGCTTTTGCTTTTACCACCTTTTGCAGTCAAAATGTGTGACTCTTGTTTCCCTTCACAAGCACAATGAGGAAGACATAAGATGGAGCTATTGACAGGCAGGCCGATGGGTAACTTGCTTAGGCACTAAAGAATCTTGAATTGAAATCATTTGTTTGCTTTGTTTGTATGCTGTTAAAGCCAGAGGTTGAGATTTTTCTTGTTGACCTAGAGCAAATATGAAGGTCTGTGATACAGGGGATGCCAGATGCAGCTGCAACTCTTTCATTTTCACATCCATAGATCACTCACTTATAGCCTTACCTCATACATCTGTATCTATATCTATATCCTGTGGTGGGATTCAAATATGTGAACAACTGGTTCTCTGTGTAGATGCTGCTTCTGGAAATCCATTCTGGGCCTGGGCAACAAAAAATTAGCTATTGGTTATGCCGAAGTGATGTGAAGTGGCTGAATCCCACCACCCTCTCCCTCTCTCCCCCCCCCTGCCAGTTTTGTCCAAAACTGAAAAGACATTGTAAAACACGGTCATCTGACTGCAAGATGCTGCAAATGGCCATAAATGGAGACTGGTTGCCAGGTACCTGACATGCAGTCACTTGACTGTGGGGAGGAGGCATCAGTGGAACTTTAGAACCAGATTATAAATTCTCCCAGGGAGGTCCTTGGAACTTTGAACAATTAAGCATCTGGTCTTAAGTTGAGGATTACCTGTAACAAAGATGTGGAGCAAGGTACAGAAATCTGTAACATTGACTTCATGTCAAAGTCAATCTATTCTCCATCACTGACCTAGTGTGGAATCTCTGAATATTGAAATCCATCATGCCTGAAGCTTTTCTTGAAACATGTTTATAAGCAACTTTATGTTTTGAGAAGATTTTGTTTCAAAACATCTGACTAAATAAATAGTTAATATTGATCACAAATTCAATTCTCCTGTATACATTTTGATTATGTTAACCTGCATTATCTGTTAATGAAGAATATTTAATATTTTGAGGTTTTATTTGCTCTCTTGTATTTCCTCCAAAAGCTCAAAGTTGATAGCAAGCCATGTGGTTTGAACTGATGAGACAAAGAGGTGTATAATTCCCAGGGCATAATTCTATCCTAAAGTATACAGTGTCATATTGCAAGGGACAGGCATCCCACAGCTTTAGGGAGAAGAAAGGAGACAGAGAGCCTTTAGATTACATGTCAGACTTGAGTGATGCATTCCTCTGGTTTACTGATGGAATGTGGTTTTGGGGGGAGCTCCCTTGTCTTAAAATCTTACACCGAGTAGTGGTGGTAGGGACTTTGGCAATAAAAGTGTGGTTTATTCCAGACAGCTATAGTTTTTAAACAGCATGGCAATTTTTTCCTTGTTTGTGTTAAAATCTGCTTGCATTTAAAACTGGCAGATTTTTCCTTTCTTTTCTTTTTTAGGACTCAAGTTGCAGTGATGTGGAAAAAGAATTTCCACTCAGATCACTCCCCTACCTCCATGCTGAGACCAGTTCTTTTCTTTAGCCCCAAGGTGTCATATCTCTTGGCTCATTCCTTCGATTTCACTCTTTAATTCATCACCCTGGACTTTGTCTTTGGGAAATAGAGAAAGAAGCTTTTATAGACTGCCAAGCAGTTTTCAAACACTACTGTATTGTTTCCGTCCTGTTTCCTTCCATCTTTTAGAAATTTAAACTGAGAACTCGGTGCAAGATAAAAGCAAAATTGCAGATGCAAATGCATCTCTATTGATTGCAGGGAAGAAACCAATGTATAAAAAGCAATTCCCTTTTATTATAAGGTCTCTCAAAAAATTAGAAGTTCTCTAGTTGGATTTTTTTTTTTTTTGGAGAAAATAGGCATTTAAATCCAACTTCTTTGGAATTTATTATTTGGGATTTGAGGGTGTTGTCAGGCATACTTTTTCTCCCTCTCCAAGCACATACTAGTATCAGAAATATTCAACTTTTGTTCAACAAGTGTTCTAGAACCTTTGTCTCTAGATACTTATTATTCATAAAAGTCCAGCTGTTTTTGGAGGGGCCTCTGTCCTTTGTTATCTTAAAGCTTATATAATAGTCATATAAAAATGGAATCTTTCTTAATTTGATAAGCAACAGATTAGGCCATGATTCTATCTTGCTACCTGCTTATTGTGTCAGGGACCAAAAAGTTACAGGACAGGTTACATCTGACTTTGTGAATTGTGAAGATGGTATTGTTGTATTTAGGATTAGAGTGGGAATTGACACTGGGATAAGTTTATTAGTGGTATTAAGATACAGTACTTCTGTACCTTCATTTTGCAACCCTAACAATCTTTTTTTACAGTGCCTCACTACTGACCCCATGACTGTTACTCTGGGAATAATTAGATTTCCAGATTTAACAGTACGGGTGACAAATATAGAAATGAAAAAAAATCTGAATCCAAGCAGCAACTACCCCCCCCCCTTTGCTTATCCTTCATTTATACTGATTTTTCCCTTTGGTGATGTAAAAGAAAACTGATTGTTGTTCAGTATCAAAAGGTTAGTCTGAGGATAATGTGGCAGTGTAATTGGAAACTGAGGGAGAAGAGATTAAGACAGGACAAGGAATAGCATAGCATAGCATAGCATAGCATAGCATAGCATAGCATAGCATAGCATAGCATAGCATAGCATAGCATAGCGCTGAAAGTCCAGCCCCCTGCTCAAGCAGGAGACCCTGTACCATTTCATGCAAGGGACCGTCCAGTCTCTTTTTAAAAACTTCCAGTGAGGGAGCGCCCACAATTTCTGAGGGCAAGCCGTTCCACTGGTTAATTGTCCTCACTGTTAGGAAGTTTCTCCTTAATTCCAGGTTGTGTCTCTCCTTAATTAGTTTCCAACCATTGTTTCTTGTCTTGCCCTCTGGTGCTTTGGAGAATAATGTGAACCCCACTTCTTTCAGACATTCTTACATGTCCGGCTATGTTTCAATACTTAATTGACAAAAATATATTCACAATGGTTTTGGGGGTATAAGAATGAAGCTGGAAATTATTTGACTTTACTGCAGAATGGAGATGATACCATGCAATCATACAGATCCCGAACCAATCCAGGGATAATATAAATGCAGTTCTACTTTGAAAAAGTTCTGGAAAGTATAATTGGAGATTATTTTATTTTATTCCATAATAACCCTATGAGATATATATATTGACCAGACAGGGTCTAATAGTTATGTCTGGTCTTACCTGCTTATGAGTTGGAGGGTCCAATTCTGCCCATTTCTGTTTTTTTCTTTCTCCAGTGGACGATACAGAACTCATTCTGGATGCAAACGTTCATTATTTTTCAGATAGACTAATGTTTTAGGAGCAATGGTGGGATTCAGCCAGTTTGCACCACTTTGGCAGAATTGGTAACTCATTTTTTGTTGCCCAGGCCCAGAATGGACTTCTGGAAGTGGCATCCACACAGAGAACCGGTTGTTCACATATTTGAATCTCACCACTGGTTAGGAGATTCAATATAGTAAAAAAAAAATCTTTCCTTCCTTCCTTCCTTCCTTCCTTCCTTCCTTCCTTCCTTCCTTCCTTCCTTCCTTCCTTCCTTCCTTCCTTCCTTCCTTCCTTCCTTCCTTCCTGCCTGCCTGCCTGCCTGCCTGCCTTTACAAAACATTAATTATTTCACTCTTAATCTTACTTTTCTCTAACTTGATAAACTCTGGGCAAATGATATATTCAATAGAAAAATTCCATAACTTTATAACAGTAAGTTGTAAGAAAAATAATATTCTTCTTACAGCTAACTGGATTCACTGGGAAAAGCTGAAGTCTGTCTCTCCAATGTAGATACCTCTGCCCACAAAAGAAAACAGTTTCTGTCAGGAAGGAGCCATTGAAGCCAGGAGAATTGAGGAGCTGGATGTGTTCCAGGAATATCTACTGCCAAGACCTTTAAAAACACTGTTTCTTTCCCATCTCCTCTTTGGAAAAGTATTTCTAGCCAAATATATATTCTGTTTTAGTCACCAAAAAGCTGTGTTCAAGTATTTATATGGATGATGGAGGTGAATTTATTTTTCTTTCTTGGAACTTTGATTGTGCTCATTCTTGTCTTTTTGTTTTTAACAACAGCCAAAACTGGTCCAAAGAGATGGTACAGCCACAAATGCCAATGCAGCCCCCGTGGAGTCATTTCCCTGGGTGGGGCCAAAGACAGTGGTGTTGCACAAAAACCTTCAGGGCGGTTATGGCTTCACTCTCCGGCATTTCATTGTCTATCCCCCAGAATCAGCTGTGCACACCAACGTGAAGGTAATGTGCTTCTGAATTTGTAAAATGCATGCAGTCATTTGGGAGCTGTGTATTTATCATATACTATATCAGAAGATATTCCTGGAAGCAGGTGGTGTAGTATCTTGCTTATCCAAAGCAGGTCTTGTATGTTCAGTGCTTGGAGGATTGGAACCTGCTTGTAGGGGGCTTTTGAGGTGCGTCATAGAAGAAAAGTAGGTTGCATGTAAATACTACTATGGGGAAAAAAATGCCAGCTCAAGATGTATTGCTAATGTGATATTGGAGACAATGCTTCTCTTACCCATACATAAGAAAAGCTATATTTTATGCGAGGAGTAATTAATTAATTACAGACTTGATTTCTCTTCCCCCCCCCCTTTATATAGGAAGGAAACAAGAATTAGATCATCAACTTATCTAGCTCAGAACCGACCCACATAATTTCAAACAGGAGTCTCTTTTTAAAATTCTCCTTGATTCTCTCAGATTTCATTAGCACTTGGATGAATATGTTGTATCCATGGCTGCCAATTCCTCAGATTAATACTGAAGTGCACAAAGCAAACCTAGCTGTTGACAAATTTAACTGCTTTTTTCCTATTTCTTGTGTGTCAACCTAAATAAGATTTTTTCCTCCTCTTTTTTTCAGGAAAGTTTATTGGCTTCTATATTTCTCCAGCACTGGAGATGGAGAATCCACCAATGGGTTTAGACTGTATTCCTGCCCAATCAGATCAAGTCAGCCAAAGTTGCCATGCCCGTCCTGGACCATAGAGATCCCAGTCTTGACTTGATCTTGCCCAGGACAGACGTGCAAGTTTGGCTCTTAGGCAGGTATAGTCTTCATTGGTGGATTTTCCTCTCCCCAGTAGCTTTGCTGTGCTGTAGTTAACACAAAATTTGGCCTAACGGTACCAAATTTTCTGTGCCTCTCTCATTCAGGAACTTGAAAATTGGCTTCCAATATCCTACATTGGGGGGGGGGGAGAATATAACTAGTTTACTTGGGGGAAAGGGCTCCTTTCCCCTCTTCCTCCCCTTTTAAATTTCCCCTTTACCTCAATAGCTGATCAGACAGGGTTTAATGGCTGTTAGCCCTCATCCACTTGTGGGGGGGGGATTTTGAATTTCCATCAGAGCTTGCGGCTGCAGCTGCGATGGGAGGCTTACAGGCCGAAGATCACAGGTTCCCTAGCTCACGCTCAGGATCATGCGGGGCTCTTTAAGTCTGTTCCAACAAATCCAAGCCCCATGTTCTTCGCTTAGCTCACAACTGGTTTTTTCATGGAGGAGGTGCGTGCGCGCATAGAGGCAGCGCCGATCAGCTGGCAGGCGGCTGCTCGGAAAGGTAAAAGGGGCCGTTTTTTCCCCTTGCGCTCCGGTTGCATTCCTCCCTTTGAAATTGAGCTCTTCGGGTCAGGCTTGCTCCTTAGAGCCTGCCTTCATGCGTGGCTGCCATTTTGGCCGTGTGGCTAATTAAATCTCCCCAGGAACAACAGGCCCTTTCGAACTCGGGGGATTCAGGAAAAGTGGAACCCCCTCTCACCACCAAGGTTGACATTGAAAGCGGGGCTCTTGACGTGGGGAGGTATTCAAAGCGGGCACAGTCCGAGCAGGTCCGATTCACTTAACCAGGCCGTGCTCCTGCAGATGCCGCCATTTTGTAATACACTCAGTTGGGCTGCCATCTTGTAGACAGCCGCCATTTTGTGGCCAGGACCGGCCCTGTTTTTTTTGAACTGAGGCCTACTGTCAGGAAAATTCAGAGCCTGCAGACATCTCTGAAATTCATCCCACACTCCGGTCTGAGCCCTGACTGAACATTTTGAGCATCCGGTCTCTCACTTTTCAGGGTTTGGTGTCTCCTGGTCCCTGCTTGTCATTATACAATTCGGCTCCACTCGGATTCCAGGCACCCCCAGTAGTGTGTCTGTCCTTATCCGGGTAACAACTATACTCGGATTCCAGGCGCCCCCAGTAGTATGCCTGTCCTTATCCACAGTACTTCAGGCCGGATTCCAGGCACCCCCAGTAGTGTGTCTGTCCTTATCCGTGCACAGCCATAGTTGGATTCCAGGCGTCCCCAATTGTACGCCTGTCCTTATCCACGCAAAGGCTGTACCTGGGTTCCAGGCATCCCCTGTAGTATGTCTGTCCTTACCCAGCATGTAATACTCTCCAGATACCAGGAGCCCCCTATCGTGTCCCTGTGCTATCAGAGAATGGAGGATTGTACTCTTGCCTCAAAGGGAGCCTTGCCATCCTCATTGGGTCCACCTGGTCTGGAAGGCATTGATCAGACGGCGGCCAAAACTAAGGTCAGAACTACCACCAAAATTTCCAAAAGAACAGACAAGCAGGCAAAAAGGAGACACCAAGACTTAGAAAAGGAGTTCTCCAAGAGCCAAGTTGGAGAAACCTCAGAACGAAGGGTTAGCCTTGCACTTACTCCTGGGAGCTCCAACCTCCCCTCTGGGGATCTGGTTAACGGGGGATTCCTTACATTCCCCTGCGCAGTACGGGACAGGCGAGTTTCTTTCCGCTTCCCAATCTTCTGCTGCACGGATTCCTCAGGGAGCTCCTGAGGCCACATTTATCCCCACTGCAGCAGGACTCCATCCTAGCGAACCGGCCCCCTTCCCTACGGAGGACTGCCTAGCCTTACTGATCGCATAAGTGGTAGACCGAGCCCTTGACGCCAGGGCTCAGGCTTCCAGGCCAGTGATTACCCCTCCTATCCAACAACTGGGGACTGAAGTCTATTATAGTCCTTCCTCTCCATCTGAGTCATCAGTTTCTGAGGATTCTTACCTCCACCAACCCGACACAGAACAAGACATCCCAATGTTTGAAGAGAAGGAAGCTCCTCCAGAGGCCTCTTCTTTCAGTGGCTTCTTTAATCCTTTATCACCCTACTACGTAAGGCCACATCCACCGCCCATCTTGGGCCCGAGCCTTCGTCAACAACAACCCCCATTTCCCCGGACTTGGAGGCAGACGCGAACTTTGTCGAACCGGTCGTGGCGCAACACCACATCCCTTGCCCTTCTCTGTTTCTGAACATGATCTGGAAACAGTGGACTTCTCTTCCCATCCCAGGTAACACTGACAAAAAGTTGTACAATGTTGCCAAGGATCTGGAGGAGGCTCTGGAGGTACCGGCCATGGACGAGCCCTTAGGTCCCCTAGTATCGGCCATCGCTATTTCTGGGGATTTTTCTGAGGCCCTTAAGGCCGAGGATCGCAAGTGCGAATCCACTTATCGCAGAATGCACCAAGCGGCTGCATGGGCAATCAGGGCTGCAATCTCTGCCTCATTTTTCAACAGGGCCGCCCTCTGCTGGCTTCGGCAGTTTTAAACCCGGATTCCAGCGGAGGATATCTGCACACACCAGGACCTTAGCAAGATGGTGGCGGCCATTGAGTATGCGTCAGGCGTGACCCTTCAGGCTGCCAGGTTTTCGTCCAGGGCTATGGCGTCCAGTATCACTGGTCGCCGTATGCTTTGGTTGAAACACTAGCAAGCTGATGCTAAGTCTAAGTGGAAGCTGGCAGCTGCTCCATATCAGGGAGGTAAATTATTTGGGGATGCCCTAAATCCCTACATAACTGAAAACAAGGACAAACGCAAGGTCCTTAATCATCTCCTCAAAAAATCGGACAAACGCTCCAATTATTATCCACGAAGACAGTCCTTTCGTGCAGGAGCTAGATATAATTACACCCAGCCCTTCCACCCCTTTGCGGCCAGGCAAGATAGGCAGGAGAGACCGACTGATAGACAAACTTCCAGACCCAGGCAACAATCCCAGGGTAAGCGGTCCTTTCGAGGAAATAGCAGGCCATTCTGCCGATCCAGGTGACTCTCCATCAGTACCTCCCATAGGAGCAGACTCTCTTTATTTGCCCCCCAGTGGAGACCACCACCACAGACGCATGGGTGCTCGACACCATTCGTCACGGTCTTTCCCTAGAGTTTATCTCCAACCCCCCCAAATCGGTTCCTTTCTTGTCCATACCTCTGGAACCGAACAAAGAAAAGGTTGATGAACGAAGCCGTTCAACATTTACTGCACATATGGGCCATAGAACTGATGCCTCTGGGCCAGAGGGGTCAGGGATTTTACTCCATCCTCTTCATCGTTCCCAAGGCGTCAGGGGGATGGAGAGTCATTTTAGATCTCAAGGGCTTAAATTTTCATCTTGCATACCGCAAACTCAAGATGCAAACGCTCCGCTCCATCTTGGGAAGCGTAGGAAAGGGGGACCTCCTGACGTCTATCGATCTCACGGAGGCGTACCTCCATATCCCTATCTCTCTGGCCCACCAACGGTTCCTACGGTTCGCGTACAAGGGACGCCACTTTCAGTACAGGGTGCTCCCATTTGGCCTCTCATCGGCTCCCAGGGTGTTTACCAAGATCCTGGCGGTTCTGGCAGCTCATTTAAGCATGATACTAGTCAGAGTCCAATGCTATTTGGACGACATATTAATCCAGTCATCGACTACCCAGTCCGCCAGATCGGACCTCGAACTGGTGGTAAAGCTGCTTCAGAATCATGGGTTCTCGGTAAACTTTCCGAAGAGCCATTTGGTCCCCACAACAAGGCTGCTACACCTCGGCGCTATCATAGATACGGTGGAGTGCCGGGTGCACCTGTGTCAAGAACGCCGGGACAGTATAAGGGAGTCAGTCCTCCAGATACGCAGGAATCGGTCAGTAATGTTGGCCAGTCTCTCCCAGTTGTTAGGGAAGATGATCTCGGCCATAGCAATTGTCCCGTTCCCAGGCTCCACTCCAGGGAACTACAATGTTCATGCTCCCCTTCCAGAGACAGAACCTCAGTGCTTCCCAACAAAGAGTAAGACTCTCACAACAGGTATTACGCTCCCTCATATGATGGCTATCACCAGCCATACTCAGAGGGTCATGTTTCAAGGAGCTGGATAGTGCTCACGACAGACGCCAGCCTGTTCGGCTGGGGAGCACACCTTCGGTCACAGTGGGCACAGGGCC